ATCTATCTATCTATCTATCTATCTATCTATCTATCTATCTATCTATCTATCTATCTATCTATCTATCTATCTATCATCTATCTATCTATCATCTTACATCTACTAAATAATGCTTCCTCATCCTATTTTTTCTTACAACAGCAATTCTGTGAAATAGATTGGGCTGAAAAAGGGTGACTGGTCCTGATGAGTCAACTAAGCAAGCTTTGGTGCTGACTGAATTTCAAACTGCTAAGACTCAGAGTGTGCATAGCTAAGGCTTTGCAAAACATTATTTTTCATAGTTAATAGTGATCCCTTCTCCCATCATACTATTATTCATCATTTCTTTTCTATTTAGATTATAGGCCACATAGATAACTAGCACTGAAACAACTTTGTTATATTAGAATCACATGTAAGAATAAAAATTTAGCTCGACTTGCATGAATCACATCAGCTAAATAAAATAGGCTGAAATCCAATTATATTTTGCATATTTCTTCCCCTTCTTTTAAAATTGTTTATTTCTTAACAGAAACATTTGTCTCACAAATGAACTGAAATGAGATATTAATTCTGTTATCAAGAATCATTAACTAATACTGTAAGCAATCAATACACTTCTTCACTGTGGGAGGTGTAAATCCAATGGCACAAGGGGGCAGTGATGTCTAGATAAAGATTTACTTTGTGCCATTTGCCTTTTGCCCTGTTGGTAATCTGTGATCACCTCCATCTCCTTTTCTTCTCAGGCACATGCTGTTTGATGCTCTACTCAATAGGATGTAGTTAGCTAGGTGCTAGACTTTGTGAGTATCTATAAGATAAGGTATTTCATGTAAACAAATCTGCCTTCTGTTCAATGGTGGGTTTAAAAAATTGTTGGAACCCACTCTGTGGGTGTGGCCTCCTTTGTGGGAGTGGCTTGCCACCCATGTGACCAGATGGGAGTGGCTTGCCACCCATGTGACCAGATGNAAGCATTCTCACAAAGAGTGGCCAGTTTTCATGGACACATTGTCCTTGACTTATGATCACAACTGAGTGCAAAATTTCTGTTGCTAAGTGAGACATTTGTTAAGTGCGCTTTGCCCCATTTCTTGTCACAATTGTTAAGTGAATCCCTGCTGTTGTTAACCACCAACAAGGTGGTTAAGTGAACCTGGAGCCATTGACTTTGCTTGTCAGAAGATTGCAAAAGGGGATTGTGTGACCCCAGGACAATGCAACTGTCATAAATATAAGTCAGTTGCCAAGTGTCCGAATTTTGATCATGTATCCATGGGGATGCTGCAACATTAGTAAGTGTGAAAAACAGTTGTGAGTCTGTTTTTTCAATGCTGTTGTAACTTCGAACAGTCACTAAACAAATGGTAAGTTGAGGACCACCTGTGCTGTCCTTAAAATATAAGCACATTCTCTCAATTTGAAACCTTCCAGATGCACTGAATTCCAAGCCAGCAGAAGGATGGAAGTTTTGAAGTCCAACATATTTGGAAGGAAAGGCTGCTTTATAACTTTAGCCTAAGGTTGAAATCTATTCTTAGCTATGCAAACTGATATCCAAGGAAAGTTATATAATGTTTAACAACAAATGTAAGAATGAAGGTGAAATTGACAATAAGCTTACTTGGTTTCAGATTGTTTCAATTATTTTAGGACCAAGTTTTAAGGTGCTTTGATTTTATTAATACAATTATATTTCATTGTATAGTAGTAACATAAAGTCTAAACTATATGTGAAATGTGTGACAATTGAAAAAAAAATCTAAAATGCGGGTGGTGTTTACTGTCAGTGAAGAACATAGTCAATATGAAATAAACATGTCATCAAACACAACTCTGATAGTTGATTATAAAATTTGCAGGGTATGATTTTGTACAGAAGGCAATGCAAAAATGATCAATGCAATCCTTATGGTTTGCAGTTAAATATCCTCATTTTTATTCATTTGTTTCTTTCATCTTGTAATTCTAAATTCAAAAGCTGCTTTTCTAGTTTTGGTACATCTACCCGATGCTTCATTAAGAATTTCCCATTCAGATGAAAGACAGGTATTTCGTACTTGTATTTTTCAAGCCAGTTTGAATGATTAGGTAGAGTTATATCTATTTCCTCCAAAGTAAACTGTAAAAAAACAAAAAACAAAACAAAACAAATGGACAATAAAATAGCTAGTAGTCAAACATTAGAAAAGCATAGTAATAAACCATACTAAAAGAATTGAAGTGATCTCAACGAAAATCTATGTACTGTAGGTTGTAAAGCAATACTTACGTTGAAAAAAAACTGATTGGGTTTATTTCTTTCAGCAATTTTTTTTTGAATGATTTGAATAAGAGGATTTGGGGACCCCAGTAAGGACTATTGCTACAGATAAAAATGTCCCGAGAAACAGTTTCTAAATTTATTCAGAGAGGCACTTAGATGACAAATGAACAAGTAATTTTGAAATTTGCCAGCAGTGTGATGAAAGACTGCATATAGCCTATCTTTGCACAATAACTTAAACTGCAATCCAGGCAATCATATTTTAGCCTAGCATGCTGGAAGAACGCAGCTCATAGGATTAGTTTATGTTGGAGTCTACTACGTGAACTTAGGTTTGTGTTAATTCCCTGAATTATATTGGTTCAGTAAGTATGTTCTGTGAACATAATCACTCTTGGTCTGTTTTTTTGGTCAAGCATCCTAGATAACCTTTGGTTACCTCCATGTGAGTTATTCCTATTGGTTTTATAAGTAGCAATAAGTGGCTTATTAGGCTAAGGAGTTCTCAACTGCTTCCATTTGGGAAGACAAAAGACTTGTAAAATGACAGTGGGGAATGAAATGCCCTAATTAGATCTGATTTCAGATTGCTTTCTGGAATGATCTCAGCTCCATGTTTAAGCCCTGTAGCTCAAACCTCCCAATATTATTCTAGGGCAAATAAGCCCTTTGTGGTTGGTCGAATAATCTTCTAGACCTATTATACATAGAAGGTATTATTTCCTGGGGGCCTTGGAGCAGAATAAATAAAGAATAAAAGCAAATTCAGCGAGTTGAGTCTAGTAATTAAAGCAAACATTTGTCTTGAACTACATGTTGGCACAGTCAGATTTCTTCTCCTGCTATCATTCCTGTTTCAGAGAATCGTTGCACTAACTCATTCCTGCTTAACAAAGCAACAGTTTTAGCAAGTTTCTAAATAGGAGAAAGAAACAATCGGACATTTTATAGAAAGGAAATCCCATTGATTGAGATTCTAACTATATTTTTAGAAAAGCAATTAATATAACTTCCAGGCTGTATAAGATAAAACCCATCTTCTGTTTCAGTATTAGCTTTATCTGTATATTTGTTTTATCTTAACCATTTAGATAGACAAAATCAAATCCATGAAGATTTTGAGGCAATTATTTTGGCAGGAACTGTAATGCATAACACTGAATTATTTTACCATGAAATATTTCCAATTTTAGTATTTCTGAAACACTATTGATAACAATTAAAGTTTCTTGGTGATTTACAATAAACCATACTATCACAATTAAAACCAAAGATACAAAGAACAGTTAGAAACCAACAACATCAACAATTAAGCATTGTTTATTTTAAAAATACCTAGCAGGGCTTTTTAAAATGCCAACAAAGGAGCTAAGTCTCTTAAGCCAGCAGGGGGTTATATGGCAAAAATAGTAGAAGACAGCTCCAAAGAAGGATTAATGGAGATATAGCCAGAATAGCTCATGGTATCACATAGAAATTTATATTTCTATTTATAAATATATAAATATAATTTATATATAAATAAATAAATATATAATTTATATTCTTCCAAGAAGCCTAAATCAAAGTATATGAGGTTTCAAAATCAAGTTTTAAAACTCTGATGCAGGGTTTCCAAACCAAGATCATCATCATCATTATCATCTTTATCATCCCATCCCACCTCAGAGGGTGATTTTCAAAAAGGTCAGTTAAATCTAAGGAGAAAGTAGAGACAATATTTGGGGAATTTTTACATGAGTTCTCTTTCCTAGAGTGTCCAATCTTTTTATTTGCAACTATAAATAGGAATAAACTTGATTTATAAACCAAAATGTATAAAGAATTTGATTCATTTGACAGGAATCATGAAGTTTGTAACATATTATTAAAATAATGAGTGCTTGTAATAAATGTCTGTGTTAACCACTAGGTGAAAAAAATTGTATCACACCATATTAATCCATCATTATTTTTCCGCTGTTAGATTTTATTTATACGGTCCAACAAGAATGATTTACCCATAAGAAGTGTTGGATTATACATTTATACTAAGTATTAACATTTTTTGAAGGCGGCAATAGAAAAATGATTTCACTGGAATAGGCTGTTTTTTGGGGAAAAGATATAGGAACTAATGCCCTAAAGCAAATTGGCAGCTGGTGCACGAATATAATGTCCAGCAACAACATATTTCCTTTGAGCACTTCTGGAAACCAGCTTGACTAAAGATAGACATCGATTTATGACCATGATAATTTTATTGCACAAATTATAACTATCTATTGGGAAAGATGTTACTTCTCCCACTGCCATAGTTATCGCTGGACCTTCATAACTTCATCCTACCTTCATAACTTCAGAATTGAATTCCTATGGGGGCTAAACTTGAAAGCTACTATTTGATTCCATGACAAGTATCAGAATCCCTGTGTAGGTTAAAAATTAATGTTCCTTCGTTTTGGTGCCTACAGCATTGGATTATTTTGACAGGTTTATTCATGAAAAGTTTATTATGGAATAAACCGTGTTGAAAAATGCTTTTTTATTGTTTTAGTAAGATACCAAAGATATAGATTACTCAATCTGTGGCATTCCCTATACCATGAATAGGTGAAGAGAAAGGGAAAGGCCAGGAAAATTAACGAGATCCTCAAAAACAGGAAAAAATCTGAAAGAATAAAAGGCAGTGTATGAAGTGGCATATGGAAATGGCAGAAATAAGAATAATTTTCAGGGACAGAAAGCTATGAAAAATTATACAGAATAGTATTGGCATAAATTAGTTTTCACTATTCTGCCTTTTCATTTCCTTATCTTGGGTCTTTAACATCTTTGGCCTAGTAGTTTTTTAGTCCTTTTCTGTTTTATATAACTTTGTTCACCCTGAAAAAGAATAGTATGATAGGTAATCATAGGGAAACATATAGAAGAGTGGGGAAATCCATTATTAAAAAACAAACTGGGCTTCTCATAACATTATTACTTCGTATTAATCCAGTTTTAAGAAAACCATTTTAAAATGTTTGCTAAATTAAAAAAAAACATACAAATTACATCAGATTGTTTCTTGGCAGTTTATTCAATTCAAGCATTTCTAATTTACCGTGTTTTGTCTAGATGCTATTGCTGCTTCTGATGTTCCATAGTGGTAAGAGCAGTTTCTCAACCTTGACATCTTTATCTTATGTGGATTTCAACTCCCAGAATTTCCCAGTCAAACACTGGATTAGAAGTTTAATATGGGTTAAGCATATTTCCCAGTAATCCTTTGTTACTGATGAAATTGATATTTGCTTCCTCAACAGTGGCACAGGTTCTTCTGCACTGTATCTCTAGTATTTGAAATCTATCAAATCTAGAAAAATTGTAGATTTTTCAGTCAACAATTGAACTAGGCTTTTATTTGCAATGAAGTGATAGGAAGAAGTAATATAGTCAAGTGTTGCTATTTTGACAATATAATTTTTCAGAATTCTACCCCTTTTAATGATTATTGAGATTATTAATTCTGAGGTTAAATTATCATGTGAATGCTGTTGGGTATTCGTAGACCACTAGGTTCTTTTGCTAATGTAATATGATAAAATAATATATATATCAGCAAATGCCCTCTTATTACATTTCAGTGTATAACTTCTTACTCAGCCTTTTATCAAATGTAAGCATGCAATACATCCAGGAAACTCCATCATTATCCGAAGATAGGTATCATCAGCATACAGATCATACCTGGTTTCAAATCTAATGATCAACTCCTTCAATAGTTTCATGTAAATATTGAAAACAATGGAAGAGCAATTGTCCAGTGAGGAGCCATCAAATGGTACCATCTAAATGTACTTGAGCTAAAGGGGAAAAAATGATTGCAAAAAAATGGCTATCCTTTCTAGATTCTTTTAGGCAATGCACCTAATGTGGTCAAGCCACCAAGAGGCCAAAATAAATAAATAGCTAGATAAATAAACCCAGATGAATCATGGTTTTTCTTTTGGATACTGAAGATAATTAATCTGACCAACCTAGGCATTTAATCTCTGTAGCCAATTCTGAAGCCAGTCTGTAATAGAGCAGTGCAATTTCAGTTGCAATAGTCCAAAAGACAAAAATGCTTTCTGAGAATTGACTTTATGAAAATCAGTTGTGGAAACTAATTTTTTAGAAATTCCAAAAGAAAGAGAAACAATTGCCAGTGCATTTGTATGCATCTGCAGAAAAATATGTTCTGATTCCTTATTTTAAAGGTTGTGGGTTGGTGTTTTGATTAAGCAAAGGACTGTATTAACCTACCTTATGTTTATATGGTTCAAGCATCATTTTGGCTTCTTCGCATAAAGGACAGGGATGCTTAAGGAGGGGAAGGGGAAAAAGCAGTCAGTAATGAAAAGTAGGACGAATAGAAAAGCACAGGCTTCATAAAGCTTGTTAACATGCTCTCAAACCATTTTGACAATATTTTTCAGCATAAATTCACATTGGAGTCTGTATCCTGAATTAAAGGGGAAGAATGAGAGAGGCAGCATTGACAGAATTATCTATCCTATTTCAGAAGGCAACTCTGAAATAGGATAGATAACCTACCCCTGGAATATATCCTGGCAATCTTTTTTTCTGTCATGTCCTTATAATGCTGACTTCCAAGGTCATTCTGCTCTGGGCAATGGGAAAGTTGCATTCTTTGAAAATGCCTTCTTCCCCAATACCTGTCAGGCCTCTGAACAGCGTTTATAAATAAAAATAGCATTATTTGCCAGCATCGTCCCTGTGGCAGAATACAGGTTGCCAGAATTATGTTGTCTAGTTTTCTGCCAATTCAAAGACCAGTGGGTAGAACTTAGGAAGAGCCTACAAGTGATTCATCATTGCTTTACAGCAAGAATAAATGAAATGAGACAATGCTATTTTTAAATTACTTAATTCATGGGGAAAAAGTGGCCAATACAGACCCTATCCCACATATTATACAGTGGGAAAAAAGTGCATGCTAAGTATTTAAGCCATATCTATGTTTAGCTTGCAGCGCACATTGGCAGGGAACCTGCAGTTCTATAGGTGCTGTTGAATTTCACCTTTCAGCAGTCCTATTCAGCATAGCTAATGTTGATGCTAGCAGCATCTAGAAAACCCTAGGTTCCTATCCAGT